AGATGAGGAAGGGGCTGGAGATGGGAACGGGGATGGAAAATGGAGCGGGGCTGCAGTGAGAGGGAGGGCGCACGGCCGAGTGCACCCCCGGGTATGTGTGTCGGTCTCTGTTTGCAACTGTCTGAGTGGCCGTGGACGTGCGTCCGCCGGTGTGTGTCGGAGGGTCCGTGCGCTTTTGGGCGTCTGCATGTCCTGTATGTGCACGTGAGCGTGTCCGTGGTGTGTGCATGACCGTGTGACTGTCGTGTGTGTACAGGCGGGCCACGGCTCTTCGCGCTGAGACTGGCACCCCGGTTCAGCGGGGCTGCAGGTTGCAGGGCTCCGGATAACAGAGGCAGCGGCCCCTCCCGCCTCCCAGGTTTCAAGGACACTAGGACTCTTCGCAGCCCTGTGGCTTCGCACTGGGGAGTCTGGGGAGGAGGAAAGGGATCTCAGCCCAGAAGGGGCACCAAGGCGGGGTGGGGGACATCGCGTCCCTCCGGAGGGGCTCGGTGGGGGTGCGGAGCCGAGCGCGAGTGCGGTGTCTTCGCCCTCCCCAGGCCGCCAGGATGGACGTGTTCATGAAGGGCCTGTCCATGGCCAAGGAGGGCGTTGTGGCTGCCGCTGAGAAAACCAAGCAGGGGGTCACGGAGGCCGCGGAGAAGACCAAGGAGGGCGTCCTCTACGTCGGTGGGCGAGGGCGGGACTTCTGGGGCTGCAGGGTTGGGTGTCCTCTGAGGGTGTGGGGACTGGGGAAAGGGTCCTCAGAGACTGTGAGCGATCAGGCAGGAGAATATGAGTCAGCAGATGGGGCGGGGTCAGCAGGGGTCACTGGGGACACAGTCAGTCCATGGAAGCCTGGGTTGGTAAAGGGCTGATGAAGGAGGGGTTCTGCTGAAAGACCAGGGACCACTGCAGCCATTAAGGCAGAGAATCTCCTTTTTTAAAATTTCTATTACCATTATTAATAGTATCTGGTTTTGAACCCATGCTCTAGGCCAAGTACAAGTACTGTGCACATTACCATAACATCCATTACCTCATTTAATGCTCCCAGCCCATTCCACAGATCAGGGACGCTGGGGCTCCCAGGGGCTTACCTATGTTGCCCAAGGTCACACAGCTGAATATACCTGAAGGTAGGGTTCAAACTCAGCTTTATAGACTCTGAAGCACCGTCATTTGTGGGCCCTCCCTCCCCTGTAAGTCAGGGTAAGCCAGGGCACCCTCCAGCCTTCACCAGGGCTGAGTTGCTTACCAGGCCCCTCGGCCTCCCAGCACCTGTGGTTCTATTATCACCATTTCTCCTCTTGTCCACCCTCCTCACAGCTGCCAGATGCTGTCAGAAGAAAGGCTGGGTTGTTAAAAGCTCTCTCCTTAAGTGTGAAAGGAGCTTATAGGGTCACTTACATAAAGAGAGGTTGGGCTGGAATTTCTACTCACTGTTTTTTGAAGTCCTATGGTGACTGGAGGCTTGCTTGTATGCAGCAGGTGTAAGTATCCCTTACACAGGCTTCATGGGACTAGTAAGTAGCCCCAAGCTTACAGCAGATTTGAATTGTGGAAATTTGAACATTTGGTGACCACCTACTATGTGCCAAGCATTGTGTGGGTACTGAGGATGTACCAGTGAACAGCAGACAAGGGTACCTTGTCTCCTCATAGTGACACAGTTTAACATGGCAGGGGTGGGCTGGGGATTTAGCCCAGTGGTTCCACTGCCTGCCTCGAAAGTGTAAGGTCCCAAGTTCAATCCCCGGTACAAGAAAGAAAAATGTCACAAGTACCTGCTTTCCAGTAACATGGCAGGGGCAGGGGCCATTTTTGGATAGGATAAAAAGAGGTGGCATTTGAGGGTCAGCTAAGGGATGGGTGGGCAGAAAAGGCAGGTATGAAGGCCTTCAAATCCACAGAGAGCAGAGGGCAGGGAGCAATGGTAGAACAGAACTCAGGTTGGGGAACAAGAGCCAGGTCACAAGGAGGTCCTTTTAAGGCAGAGCAAAACATTATTGTAATTGCAATGAGAGATCGTTAAGCAACAGACTGACATGATCTGACTTCCTTTTAGAAAGGTCTCTCAGGCCTTTGGGGACAGTGTAGCCACCAGAAGAGTGTGGCCCGAGGGAGGGCAGTGGTGATGGAGACAAGGGGAAGGCCTGAACCTACATCAGCCTGACCCACTCTGGCCGCCCTCCTGGCTCCTCACCAGCCCTGTCATTCCACTCCTGTTGACCCCAGCATCCTTGTCACTGTCTGTTTTAACAGACTTCATGCCCGCAAGCCACACTGCCCTCCTCCGCTGCACAGAATCCGCCCCAGTATCCCCCACCAGTCCCTAACATTAAAGCCTCAGCTCCCTCTAGCCTAGCATTCAATGCCCTTCATGGCCCTGCCTCAGTCTCCATGCCAACTTGGTTTTAACATACCCACTGCTTCTGGTACGTGAACCCACTCACACTTCTTAACATTACTATTGGGGCAGAACTGCCAGGGATTTCGCTCAGTGACACCACACCTGCCTCTCAAGCTCGAGGTCCTGAGTTAGAACCCCAGTACCAAAAAACAAAACACAACACCACCACCAAAACCATTGGGGCAGGACTTGCATGATATGGGAACCAGTGAGGCAGGGATGGGGCCAGGGTATCCACTGCCACCTTCATCCTTCTGCCCACCCTGCAACTCCTGTGCTGTGCTGGAATGTCTGTTCCTTCAGTTCAGACTCCTTAAATGTGCTCTTTTTTTCTTCTTCCTGCAGGAAGCAAGACCAGAGAGGGAGTGGTACAAGGTGTGGCCTCAGGTACCAGTCCCACCCTGGCACTGTCCCTTTCCTTCACCCCAGCCTATGATCCGGCCAGGAGGGTGGGGGTGCTCTCTGGGAAGGGCAGGCCCTGGGATGTTATGTGGGGGCATCTATGCCTCCTTCACTCTGGCCCCTCAACCCCTTCCCCACATCCTTGGTGCTCCAGTGGCTGAGAAAACCAAGGAGCAGGCATCACATCTGGGAGGAGCTGTTTTCTCTGGGGCTGGGAACATCGCGGCAGCTACAGGCCTGGTGAAGAAAGAGGAGTTCCCCACTGACCTGAAGGTGAGTGACCACCTGCCACACGTGTCCCACACACACACCAGGCATCCTCCCCTTCACCCACAGCCAGCTTAGGGTAAAAACATCCTTGTCTTCCATTCTAAGGGCTCAGAATGAGGCCATCTACGCACTTGGAATGTGTGCACAGGTGCGGCGCTGCCTGTGACAGGGACCCAGAACTGGCTGTCTACATGCATTGCACCTCTGGCCACATCTGCATGTGTCATTCATTTCATTAAATGAATGTCCTTGCCAGCGAGGAATTGTCCTAGAGGCTCCCGCAGTGAGTGGGATCCTCCATTCATGCAGCTGACATTGTAGTGGGAAGAGCTGGTAAAAAGCAACCCAACAAGCAAGGTGATTTCAGATAAGCATAGGTTCTGGGAAGACAAAACAGCAAAGGTAACAGGATCGAGTCAAAGGGTGAAAGGGCAACTTGAGCCAGAAAGTCTTCACTGACAATGGGACATCTGAGCTGGCACCCAAGCAATGAGATAAATGTTCAAGAAGTGTATTTCAGAGAGTTAAGGAGGCCTGGAGGCAGGTGTGAGTGTGGTGAGAAGGCCTGTATGTCACGCGTTTGCGCACACTTGTTTCCCCAGTGGAGGCTAGTGGCTACACGTGTGAGCACGAAGACAGAGGACTCTGTTAGGACAACTGTAGGCAGATAATCAGCTCAAACACATGATGGGACCTGTGCAGGGCCTCACAGCCAGGGAGTAGTAGAGTTGTTCCATGGGCCTCAAGAGCTCACAGCTGTATCTGCCCGCAACGTGGGAAATGAACGTAATAGTCCTCTTAGGCAGGTTACAGATAATACAGATAGGAAAGTCTCAAAATTTAAACATGTATCAGCATCACCAAGAGGCCACACAAACAGACAGAAGGTCAGCCCCATCGGGTTCACCAGGTCTGAGGTGAGGCCTGAGAATTTTTATTTCTAACAAGTATGCAGGTGATGCTAATGCTGCAATCCCAGGGGCTGATACTCTGAGATACAGACAGAGTCTGGCTTGCATACAGTGAGTAGCCCAGTTGGCCTCATGGGCCTGCAAGCAGTCCGTGTCTGCCCCCAGGAGGTCATGTGACCAGGTGGGCATGGAGGTATACTATCAGGACAGTGTGCCCTGTGCACTTATAGACACGGGTCTAGACGTTCCTCCTGTGAGTCCCTTTGCCTGTCCCCGCACATGTGCAGTGGAAGCAGAGACTCCAACATTTGGTTTTCATGATCAGGATGCAATCTAGGTGAGTGTATCCACTGGGTGGAAAGACCCCATACCACCCTCTACTCCACACATTTTGCACAACTGTTTCCTTCCACTGTTCGAAGCCTAGGTCTTGACTCAGTAACTCTGCTTCCAGCACTGTGTCCGAATTTTACCATCTATATAATTTCCACTTCCTGTAATCACGTTACCAGTGATTATTCCCATTTGTTGATCCCTAGACATTTTACATGGAGTGATGCACTGAATCTTCAGTGTCCCTTGAGGAAGGCGCCATAACTGTACAGACAGAAGAACTGAGGTTCAGGTGGGAAGTGACTTGCCAAAGACTCCCTGCCTCCTTCCCTCGTAAGCTTGTTGAGAGCAAAGCTCAGGTCACATCATGGGAGTCACTTTGTGCCAACACAGGGTCAGGACTGTGCTGGATGCTGGGGTACAGAGAGGCAGGTCTGGGTCTGATATGTCATCCTGAGGGTCTTTGCGACAAGCCTTTGTGCAGTCATTTCTCTCTGGTCATCTTTCTCCTCCTGGTGCTTGGAAACACCTCATGGCTGCTCTCTCAAGGGACTCAAGGTTAGAGTTACAATCCAAATAGCAACCCTTCAGGGCTCCCAGGGGTGAGGGAACCCAGGCAAGCTCAGAGCCAGCATTTCTGATCATTTTTACCTTCCAGCTTGCTTTCAATCATAGGGTCCTCACCATAGTTCTCAAGGCACACAGGCACCATCTTCTTCTCTGTCCCAGGAGGCTGTGATCCTAGGGGAAATGACTTATCTGATGCCAGGTAGCTAGTAAGGGCCAGGCTGCAATTTTTTGGAGGGGAGGTGCTAGGGATGGATCTCAGAGCCTCATGCTTGCTGAGCATATGCTCTACTGCTGAAGTGTATACTGAGTGGCTTTTTTTAAAATGGAAGTACGACATACAAGCAATAAAGTGTGCAGCACCATGAAATTTTCAGAAGGGGATACTCCTGTATGTAACCAGCAGTCAGCTCAAGACAAAACATCAGACCCCCACCCCATACCCTTTCCAAGTCCCTACTTCTAAAGGCAGGGCTAGACTGAGACAAGGCAGGCAGGGGCACCCACTCACAGGACCCTAGGAGCAAATGCTTGGCTAGCATTTGAACCCTATGCACTTCACTTACCTCACCTCATTCTTGGCCTGCCAACCCCCTCCAAGAATACCTGCTTCCTCACTTCTACCACCACAAATTAGTTAGATGTGTTTTAACTTCATATAAATGTCTTCATAAAGTACATGCTGGGCTGGGGATTTAATTCAGTAGTGCTGCCGCCTGCCTTGAAAGCTCAATGTCCCGAGTTCGAACCCTGGTACCCCCCCAAAAGTACATGCTATTATTGTTCTTCATTCTTGTGCACTGCTCCACTGTGTGGCTAGACTACCGTGCACACACCCATCCTGTTTGCACATACAACTTGCTTCCCAATTATGCACTCAGGTTAGGATTTTTAAAACTGTTTCTTCTCTGGGTTCTGGTCATAGCTGGGTGACTTGGAGCAAGCAAACATTTTCCCATCTCTGCAATAGGAGGAATAAGCTAGGTCTGGAGCTGTAAACTGATGGGTCCACCTAGACAGGGACTGTTCCGTGTGTCTGTGTGTGCAGCTAGCTTAGTCCTGTGTTTTGTGCACACACATGGGCTCACCTGCAGGTGGCCAGGCATGTATTTGGCAGGCCCCCTATATGCATGCCTGCTGATCTATGCCTGTCTGGGCAGCAGATGCAAGGGGGAGGGGAGAGTCTCAGCTCACACATCCAAGCAACACCATGAGCTGTTGCTTCCAGCTTATCTTAAAATAGCAACAGTGAAGAAACCAGGCCAGGCTGGGCCCTGGGGGAGGGAAGAGTGGAAGACGGCAGGGGAATGGCTCAGAGCCCCTGCCCATCCCTGTCCCTGAGCCTCCGTCTCCCTCCCTCCTTGGATGGGAATCTCCAGGGTTCTCTCTGGGGTCCTGCCATACAGCAAAGCCAGACCCAAAGGAGAGAGGGATAAATGGGTGACTGAGTGTGCTGTCTTCCCTATTCCATCCAGTCGCAAATGATGGCCATGCAGAGGCTGCCAAGTGCTGGGAGGACAGGCACAGCGAGCCTGGCACCCCCGCCCCATACACTCCCGGCTTTGGGAGATGATCAGCAAGGGTTTCTTTCTCCCTCACACCACCCCACTTCCAAGGTGCTCCAAATAAAAGGTTTAAAATTTTTCTGCACTGCCAACCCATCCTTGCCTTCCCCACTCTTCCAATCAGCCAGCTTCTTACCAGCGTAAGGCATTTAGGAGGTATCCCTGCTGTCCTCACCAGCCTTGCCTTTCTCTGCCCACAGCCAGAGGAAGTGGCCCAGGAAGCTGCTGAGGAGCCACTAATTGAGCCCTTGATGGAGCCAGAAGGGGAGAGTTATGAGGAACCACCGCAGGTGAGGGGGTAGCAGGGCCGGGTAGGTCTCTGGGCACCTAGGAAGATTGCTGCTAACTGTAGCCCTGGTGGGTGCTCCCTTGCATGATAAGGTTGGGAATGGAGCTTCAGTCCCTGCCTCTCTAGAACCCAGGCTGCAGAAGGTGGAAGAATGGAGGGGAGGATGGATGGGGCCTAACAGCCCAGGCAAGCCTGCTGTCCCCAACTCGATGTGCCTTCCGCCCAGGGGGAGGGGCGTGCCATGTCCTCTGAGAGGGGGCTGTTGGTCTCCAATCTCCCTCCCTTTTGCTCTTCTCTACCCCATCCTATCCCTCTGATGCAGGAGGAGTATCAGGAATATGAGCCAGAGGCCTAAGGGACCAGGACGGCCCCCCACCAGCAGCACAATTCCTTCCCTGTCCCTGCCCCACCCCCCAGAGCCAGGGCTGTCCTTCTACCCTTTCCCCCAAAAACACGAGATCTTCCTTCTCCGAGGCGCCCCCTTGGAGCCTGTGTCAGTGTCTGTCCATCTGTCTGTCATACCCACCCGAGTCCAACCCTGGGGTATGGACTGGGCCGGGGCTTCCGCCACGGCTAGGAATCTCGTCCCACCATTGTGGCCCCTTCTGGTCCCACCCTGTCCAGTGTCTGCGCGGATGTAGCATGTTCTATGTATTTTTAAACGAAGATAGGAAAGCGATGGCTCCTCCAACACCCGCGACAGAGGCTCTCCGAGGGGCTCCCGGGCAGCCCCAGAGCACCCCACCCGACTCCCACTTCGACCCAAGAACTTTTTTTTTTCAAAACCAAAACCAGGAGCCAGGCTGCGCCATGCCCCTCCCTTAGCCGGCCCGGTCCGAGCACAGGCGACGTGTGTTGTGATTGTGGCATGGAGAGTCCCCCACCCCACCTCAGTGTGAGCGTGTCCCGGGCGGGCGGGCCCGGCCGCCCCCGCGTGTGTCCATGAATAAAGCCAATCTGTCTGTAGCCAGCGCTGCATGGGCAGGGCTGAGCGCCTGATGGCGGAGGCAGGTGGGCTTCCGGGCCCTGGAGTGGCCCTCTGCCCTTTGGGATCTGGCACACTGGACCCAGGCACAGGACTGGCTGCCGGGACCCCGATTTATGCGTCTTCTCTTCGCCCCTGCCCAAGACCTGGAGGTTAGAGGAGGGTGCCCCCTGGGTTGGGACGCACAGTTGACTGGGAGGCGGAAAGGTGGCTCGCGGCGCCACCTGCTGGGCTGTAACGCAATTACTGGAGGTACAAGGCCATGGGAAGCACAGCGCCGCAAAGGCAGGGGGACGCGCGTGCAAGTAGGCAGGCCCTCACGCGCGAACCCGCGTGTACGTACCCCCGGCCAGCTCACATGTGCACACGCGTGCAGACACGAGCGCTCTCTTAGCTGTACATGCGCCTCGGAGAAGCCTTCAGAAATCAGCTGTGCTTTTACACGCAGAGCTTTTCCCGCTGCAGAACGCGTACACATGCAGGCCTTCACCCACACCTGCCCAAAGCAGAAAAATTCGGCAAAGGGGAGTGGAAGTGGGTCAATCCTCCAGAAGAGGACAGAGCTCTGGCATGCAGTGTTCTACTCCTCCCAGAAGGGCGCCTGAAAGTTTGAGTTCTCCCCGAAATGGGTCTGCAGACATCCAGGAAGGCGTCCAGGAACCTTGAGCAGACCAGGACCGGCACTAGGGGGCCCCCAATACCGCCTCAGAATGAGGAAGAAAGAGGGGAGTGATCCTGTGGGTTCTGCGCAGAAGCCCCGCCCCCGGCAGAGGAAAACTCTGCTTTTATTGGCTCAGAAGCTCCGAGCCCCGCCCCGATTTGGGCAGCGCCCCTGCCCTCTTTCGCTGCAGCGGCCCTGACCCTGACATGCAGGAGTCAGGCAGGGCTTTGCGGCAGAGGCCCCCAGCCTCTCCTGCGAAGTCCCGCCCACTTTTGTGCTTTAGCCCTAGCTCAGTTCTGAGCCAAAGCCCAAGCCTCCACCTTCAGCCCCAAAGCTGGAAGATGCTTGCTCTATTTAACCCCACCTCCAAGCATCAGTGCCTCCTTCTCCCCGGGATCATCCGAGGCGATTCCAATCCTGGAAAGGCCTTGAGCACGGCGGGAGACCAGTATGCAAGGGTCACCTTGGCCTGCAGTGTGTGGGGGGGTTATTTCTAGAAGCACCTGGCAGATGGGAGGGAGGGAGAGACAGAGAGAGAGAGTGTGTGTGTTTCTGCGTTTAGAGAGAACAGGTGGGTTTGGATTCTCTAGCTCAAGTGAATGAGGATTGAAGGAGCTTGAAATCCCTTTGGGCTGATTTAAGTCTCTATGTGCAACTCCTGAGGGATGGCGAACTCATGACCCTCGGGCTGAATAGGGCTTCTAGATGCATTTCATTTGCTAGCACCAGGTTTTAAATTTTTAAAATCTGAATACCTTTGGGCTGTGCATTCCTTTTCCAGTTGGCCCCTGTCCCTTCGTCCCTTTCCCTCCTTACTATATTACACCTATCCACTTATTTCATTTTCACGAACTGCCTGCCCTGTAGAGTTTGTGACTTCCAATCCAACAACTGCACCTGATACCCATTTTTAGATGCCAAAACCAGGTTTACCACCTGGCCTGAGGGGAGATTTATTACTACTTCTCTGGTGCCAAGCCCTACACCTGGCCCCACTGAGAATGGTTCTGCACAGAGGGCAGCGTTCTCATCTGCCAGGACCGCTTTAAATGCATTCCAGGCACAGGCCCAGAAGTGTCAGCAGAAGACGTCAGCCCTGTGTCAGATGGTAGTGTAGCCCACACAGCTCACGGGCTCCTCCCACGTGACAGGCAGGGGGCCATTTCCCAAGTGACCAGTATATCCCAGGCATGTGGTGCTTATCACTACTAATTTCGCTTGAAACTGACTTCAAGGGTTCCTTGTTGTGAGGCCCAGTTTATAGATGAGGAGACGCAGGTTGGAGAGGCATAGCTACCTGCCCTGGTCACATTGCTAGGAAGTGGCAAAGGCCACAGTGAGCCCCAGGACTGACTGCAAAGGCCAACACCTTTGGAATTTCCAAAACAAGCATTTTCTCTCTTTGAGGACAGACAAACAAATGAAGCACACCCACAATAGGAAAACATGGTGAAGCAGCAACGTGAAAATTACACACACTTGTGCAATACCATGAAGATGGGGAGCAACATTGTGTGTTTGTGAATTTGAGCTGTGTGCACACGCACTTGTGGCATGGGCATGTGTATCTGCTATGTCTGTATCTGTGATCACGTGTGTACACAGATGTTGCCCATGTGTGTCGTATGCATGCACTTAGTCACCGGACAATGTGTGTTACACATCTGCTCTGTCTTAGAAGTGAGTGATGTGAGGGAACAGTCCTGCAGGCTGATGCTCTGTCAGCTCACCTCCCATTGATCATAAAATGATGAACAAGATGATTGCAAGTTTCATGACGAACATAAGAAAGAGCAATGTGGTAGAGTCCTAGGGAGAGAGGCAGTGAAAAGCAACATTAAAATAAGGTGGCTGGGCCAGGTATCTGAGGGGGTGAGGCAGAACTGGAACTGAAAAGAAAGAGGGCAGAGTGGGGACATCTTTAGAAGACCAAGTGTTGCAGGTGGAGGAGTGCCCACTTCTGGGTTTGTGTGCAAAAGTGTGCAACCAATGAGACTGAGGCTTGTCAGGGGCCTTCAGAGGTCTGTGCACTAGGTCCACCCTGACTGGCCCCTAATTTCTCTTCCTTTGCTTGTGTTCTTTCCTTCATCGAGACAAGCTGCCCTCAACTCTGCCTGTTTAAATCTTTCCTTCTTGCCACTGCTCAGTGGACCAGAGCAACTTCTCACCACCCTTCCCTTCTCTTGTTCGGATGCACACAGAAACCCTCTTCCCACCCATGTCAGCACCCGGAGGCCTTGCTGGGTGGCTACCTGGAGAATTGCCCTCCCCTTGATGAAAGACTGGAGGCCGTCCTCGTGTCCCCACTGTTCATCTGTCTACCTACCCCCACTGCCCAGTAATGCAGCTTCCTGGCTTTCTCTGGAACTTTATTTTTGTTTTCTCCCTTCCCTATTTATAGCTCTCTCCCCTCCAAACCATCCCTGCATCTATCCTGTTGCCTAGAAACAAGCTCTGGGCTGAGGGTGGGGGAAGGCCAGACGGAGCCCTGGCAGGGAGAAAGGAAAATATGTCACCCACCCCCTCTCTCGGCAGCCCCCCCACCGGCTCCCAGAAGCCCGCTGTGCCCTCTGCCCATCACCCATGGATGTTTTTTAAAGAATAAAACAAAATGTGAAAAACAGCCCTTTGTGAAGCCCTTCCAGGCTTCTAAAGGACATGATGTGTGTGATTTCACTCATGCCTCTTAATAGTATACCTTGCCTGTGACTTTTTCACATGGGGAAACTAAGACTTCAGGAAACAAAGACCCCACAACCAAAGCTTTCTCCTCAATAACTCCATGCTCTGGATTTGTTAGCCTTGGTCTGAAACACTGACAGACTTGAAAGCATAAGTAATTCCATAACCTATTAGTTGCAGGATGGTAGAGGAAAAATGTGTCTACAATTCTGCCTCATACCAAGCCACTAGTTATGCCTCAGCCATGCCCTCTCATGCGCCCCTTAATGTCATGGCCCAACCATGCTTCTGCAGTACCCGCACCATCTTCCCCACTATATAGCCCCAGATGCTCCCCATCGTGCCCTCATCCTGCCCAAATGCAAGACTGCAGATTAGACCAGGAGGCTGGAGCTCTCCTAGTTCTGTCATTTCACCAACTGTGTGATATCGATCCGTTCACGCAAACTCTCTGAGCCTCAATTTGCCCAGCTTTCAAGTCAGGAGGCTAATTTCCACTCCTTAGGGCTAATAGGAGAATTTAATAACTATAGAGTGCTGTAAAATATGTGATCAACTGGAATAGTTAATATTGTTATTGTTGCTATTATTATTAGAGCCAGGAGGTAAGAGAAGGGAGCGGGCTCTGGGATTAGAAGGAGCCCCCGGCCTGTGTTTAGACAGAAGGACCCCCTTTCCTGGCAGAACAGAGATCGTGGGTGGTGGCTGCCTGAGAAGCCCTATTGTGCCTATTTTTCCTTCTCAAGTGCTTATTCCCTTCTGTCCTCCTCCATCCCCCCCCCCACAGGCCCACCTCTGCCTTCCCAACAGGCTTTCTGGGCAGAGTGGGGGAGGGGTGCTAAGGAGCAGCTGGGCCATGATTCAGCCTGAGTCATTGATCCAAATTCTAGGGCCGCCCCCAGCCGGGCCAGGGCCAGCAGCTGCTTGGAGTGAAAGAGTTGCAAAGAGGAAGGGCGTCTTTGGGCATCAGGGTGTGCTTGTACATGCCCAGGCCAGAGAGTCTCATGATCGCAGGCCAAGCACAGTGACGGCCTAGAGGCCATGCAAAGTGGTTGGGAGGAGAAAGATAAATCCATAAGTATCCATTAGTTGTCTGGATGGAGGTGGTAGGTAGGTGTGTAGGGGTGTGTGTGTGTGTGTGTGTGTGTGTGTGTGTGTGTTGCTACATGTATATCTGAGTAGGGTGATGGTATAGCTGGAATGACTTGCAGCTTTGCCCCTTTCTGTTTGTTTAGCCGTAGCAAGTTACTACTTCTGTGAATGTCAGTCAGTTTCTTCACCTGTGCAATGGGAGTGATAATTGTATCATCACTGATGGTTTTCTTTAAGATGAAATCGAATGAAACAATGACTATAGAACACATAGGAGTCAATAAATGATACACTGCCATCATATCATCATCTTGGGTACCTTGGGTTATGCACTGCATGCATGAGGATAGGTGCACATCTGAATTCTGTACGAGTCTTAAGGGGTATAGGGTCTGGGTGTTGCTTGAAGTAGTGTGTGAATATGTTGTGTGTGTGCCTCTGAAGCACAAGAATTTTATGCAAGAACTTCACAGAAAGCCGGGTTTATATGGTATCACCAATGCCCACACACATACACACAGAGGGTACACCTTCACTAGGGACTGTGATTTGCTGAAATTCAGCCTAGACCAGGACCAGTGTACAGGAGGATTCCAGAACCATGGATACAGTTGTATTGAGATCTTGGACCTTCGCCAAAGCCTTCAGCTTCAGGCAAAGCTGGAATGGGAATAGATGGCTAGGCCATGAGGATGGGCTGAACCATGTTTAATGGAATGGATATGTACATAATATAGTCAAGAAAGGGTGGGAAAGGATGAAATATGTGTGTGTGTGGTGATCACAAGCGTGCACAGAGTGGCACTGGGGGCTGGTTGCTGTCTCTGCTCTGGTACAGTCTGCTTGTCTCCATGGTGCCTGTTGCCACACACGCTTGCTTTTCAGAAAGTCACTGGGATTGTTTATTCCACCCCCGGCCTGGGTGCCAGCCAAGGAGCAGCAGGCTCTTGTTTATCTTCTGGTACATACGAGTGTGTATGGTTCCCCAGCAGCAGACCAACCCGCGACAGGTGCATATGCGTACATGCTCACATGGGTGTGGGTGACCATGTTCATTGTCACAAGGTTAACCAAAACCCTAAGCTTAGGCACGCTCTCTCCACATGGGAGCAAAGATGATCCTCCAGGACTATGGACACATCATCAATTCAGCAACCTCCAGACTTTCTCCAGGAGAGCGAGAGGCATTTTCCCTTGGATGGCCCACTGCTCCACCCTACCACCAGAATGAATCATTGGACAGTGATTGACCAGACCTAGTCACTACCTGCCCCTCGAGCTGGCAGTGGGGTCTGCTCCACCCCGGCAACAGACTGGGCTGAAGAAGTGGTCCCCCAAGAAAAGTGGAGGTGCTATGCTCAGAACTTGCAGGAACAGTGGCATTCCCCACAAAGGATACATTATGTAAGGAATCTGTATATTTTTTTCACAGAACCGAGAGCCTAGTGTTGTATATGGTGAAGGGAGCTTCAGAGAGACCTCAACCAAAACCGCATAGCTAATAACTGGCAAAGCCAAGACTGAACCCACACAAACTGCCTCTCTGCCCATTTTGAGTTCTTCCTCTGCCTTAGCAAGTGTTTTGTTGTCTGAAAGTTTTCATTTAAAAAATTGGCATTACCAAAAAATCCCTTTGGAACAAGAGTGGTCAGAGAGAATGGAGAGGACACAGATAAGAAGAGGGCCTAACTGTACCCACAGACTCAGCACTGCCAGAGCTCTGTCCACATCCCCTTGAATGTCTTGACCATTTCTGGGCCCATTAGCAGGATTTCAAATAGCAAGAACTTGGACCTTTGTCAAAGAGATACTCTCCAACCGCTAGAACCCCTTTTCCCCTAATGTATTGTGGGCCAGAAGTGTCCCATAGCCCTTGCAACACATCTGCCAGGTGTTGGGATCTGCACACCTGAGGTCCCTTGCCCTTGGCCAAAACAATCCTGAGGTATGCATTTACCTCAGTTTCTAAGACTTCCCTGCAGAATTAAGCTTCACTCACCCACTGTGGAAGTTGGCTTAATAATAAACTCTCATTGGCTGCCTTTCCTCCCTCGGCCATCTTTCCACTCCCCTGCCGGTGTCCTTCCATCTCATGAATAAACCACATGCCTTCAATTTCATCTCAGCTCTGTGACTACCCCAGGGATCTGGATCCCACCTTTTCTTCCACTATGAGCATCTGAGTCAAACCCTTGTACTTGTCTTTATTGGCATCTTCACCTTTCCTTCCTTCCTGAGCTCCTCCTATCAGGATTCCAATGCCTTCAAGTTTTCCCTGTTTTAACCTTCCATCTGCCTGATCAGACTGCCCTACCTCTTTTCCCTTCAGAGCCCAAACTTCTCAAGAAAGGAGTCTACCTATCTACTCCACTTTCTTACTCTCATTTACTCCCCAATCTGCCCTGCACCAAGTTGACCTTTCACTCCCACCACTTCTCTGATGTTGTGCTTATCAAGTGTTATGGCTGTGTCCCCCAAAGTCTCATATGGTCATAGGTAGGGCCTTTCAGAGATGGCTGGGTCTAGAGCATGTGATGCTAGGCTTGTATGTGATGCTGGAACTAACTGAGATGCTGGGATCAAGGGTGTATGATTAATAATTAGTCATTGGTTTGTTTGGCTTAGGTCTGGGTGGGGATAATGGGACGGCCCACCCTGGGTGTGAGTGCCACCCCCCAAGGGCATGTAGCCTGAATAGAATATAAGGGACAGAAAGAGGGTTGCTATCATGGATTACTGCTTCTTCACTACTTTGCTGCTTTGCTGCCTTCTGCTCTCCATGAATTGTTTCTCCTCTGCAATCCCATTCTGCTATGCCACCTTGCCCTAGATCCAGCTGGCAATGGACTGAAACCTCTACAATCTGTGAGCTACAATAAACCTTTCCTGCTTTAACTTTGGGTGTCAGGTATTTTGCCTCAGCAATGAGAAAGTAACAAAGACATCAAGTTTCCAGTTACCTTCTTTTCAATCTAAGGAAAACCTTTTGGCAGGATTATGCCTTCCTGATGTGGCTGACACTGGGATTCTCCTGGAACATTTTCTCCCTTTGCTTCTGAATCATCACACTCTTTTGGGGTTTACTAGCTTATCAGGCCTTTGCTTCTCCTTCTTCTTTGCATTTTCCTTTTCCTGGCCAGTCCCTTAGTGCTGGTGCTCATCAGGATGGCCTAGGGCCCTTGTGTCTCCCTATTTTATATATACTCTGTCTCCACATGCCCACATCCCTCGCACAACCTCCTTCACCAGCTCTCAGTGGTGGAATTTCTAGTCTGTCTTCAGCTGTGACCCTTTCAGAGCTCTGCACTTTTATGTCTCAGTGTGGCCATCCCATAAGCCCTTCTTACCCCCAGGGCTCATAAGGTGTATGTATTCCATTCACCTGGCTCCTCAAGGCAGAACCTCAGGAGGGGCAGCAGAATCTTGTCTCCCTTCATACCTACACCATGTCTATTGGTTTTTACCCCTAAATAGGCACTGAGTCTTGCCCCTCCTCTCCATCCCAACAGACACTCTTGTGCATCTTTTGTTACATCCTTCACTTGAACAACTGCTTGAGCCTTCTCATATATGTGCTGGCTTTATCCTAAGCACTCTCCTGCCCCAAGGTGAACGTTTTAGATCAAAGGTTAGTTCCATGTCTTGTGACCCTCCCTAGGCCTCAATTTTCACCTGTACCATGGATCCAATAGTGTTATTTTTGAAGGTGAGTGGGATTTAAATGATAAATGAGGAGCCGGGCATGGTGGCGCACGCCTGTAATCCCAGCACTCGGGAGGCGGAGGCAGGAGGATTGCTGTGAGTTCAAGACCAGCCTGGGCTACATAGTGAGTTCCAGATCATTCTCAG